TTGTCGTCGGAGTTGATGGCTTCTAAAAACTCGCGGCCTGGTGTGCCAGCGTCGAACATTTACACAATAAACGACTGCTTCCCGAAGAACTTCTTCTACCGAATTATACTTCTTGGGATGCCGATTTTCCAGTTCATACGAGTTTAAGTGTTGCGTAATTAGTGCGTCGGATTACTCGAAAGGTGGGGAGAATTGAGGTCACCTGCTGCGTGGCTGCCGGGTGGCGCGCTGACGTGTGCTCGCGTGCCTTGAGGCCGTTCGCATTGAACAAGGACTGTCGGTCACAGTAGCGATTCGTCAAGACAGCTTGCAAGATTGTCCTGGCAGTCGATTAGACTGACTCCTTACACGCTAACCCTAAAAAAGTAGGCGTTTTGGACAGATTTGAGTAAGTCATTCGACCCATTAGTGAGAAAAAACTCGATGGCCTCGGTGAGATTCGAATCCACGGCAACAAGCCGAAGGCCTTAGTACAGCCAACACTCTGGCCAAGTGAACTACGAGGCCCTCACAGGGAGCCGCCGTGAGTTTAATAAACTGTTTCAGAAATTTCGACTCCCAGTTATTCAAGGATGTTTGCGATATTCTTGAGATTCGCAAAACTTGCATGACCCCATACTATCCTGAAGGAAACGGTATCGTGGAACTGACGAACTGTACAACACAGCCTCTTTTTTGCTATTTCCAGAGACGGTCATGACTGAGATTTTAGCCTACCCCAGCTCATTTGACTTCAGTCTTGGTTGTACTAAAGTCTCGCTCTTGTTAGCAGGGATTCGAATCCAACCGAGGCCTCCAAGTTTTTCACAACTTCTTAGACAGTCAGCTTACTCTGTCAGCATTGGTGGATTCCATACGTTGCAGTAGGCTGGGCGGGTATATTGGCCCATGTTTGGTTAAACTCACGACTCCCGGTGGAGCATCTTAGCTCATTTGTCTAGAGCGTTCGCTGTATTAAAGCCTCCCCTTGGTGGTGTGGGTTCGAATACCACCGAGCCTGTAGAGATTTTCACAAGTGGCTCCGATTTACTAACCGGAAGCTTAACTTTAACCCTAATTTAACCTTCAACCTAGTCTTAACCCTAACCTAAACCCTAAGTCAAATGCTAACCATAACCCCAATACCCCTGGAAAGTAGCGCAAGTCCTCTGAATAGGAGCTTCCTATTCCCGTGTCTTTCAGTGGTTTAAATCCGCGTGAGTGTCAACGAACACGTGACAATTAAGACATTCGACTTTCTCAGCCCTATTCTCCGATATTTACTGCTTATGGTGTAATATGAGAAAAATGCTGTTTTAGGTCAAGGACTGCAAAGTATTCATCTCATTCTAATGCAGCCGAACGTTTTCTATTTCAGCCGACGATAACAACCATGATTATCCCCTTTTAACTTGCAAAAAAGGGGGTTAACCCGCAAAATGGCAAGAAACGCTCTTATTTACTACAAGAAAGAAATATTTGATGCCGTTTTCGAGAAGATAACGTGAGCTGAACTTCATTATATTCATCCATAAATCAGCCGGTCAATAAACCCAACGGTAGGCTTAATCCTCACGCAAAATGTGTAACCTACAGTTGGGACCGAACATTTTGCCATATCTGGGGTAACTTAGTGGTAGCAGGCTGTAGGTTTGATGAATATCCATTTTTTGATGGTGACCTGAAGCAGGATTTCGAAAGGTTGGAAGGATACATACATATTCCTGTTGTTCAAACCAGATTACTTTCTCGTCCAGAGGCCACGCCTGGGGGATACGCACATTTATTTAACTCTGTGACTGGAATTCAGTCCGAATGATACAGGCTAACCTAAACAGAGATAAATGCTTCACCGTTGATAGGAGATGGGCATATACATGTCCACTTCCGCTTTCCACTGCTAATTCAGCAACCGAAGCGCCTAACTGGCAGATGGATAGGCTTCGGGTTGAGGAAAAACCAGTTCGCCCAGGACAGCCTTACGACAGTTTGCTGCCGTAATCGCCTGCGCAGCCACATACTCGTGCTGGCTTTCTGTCCACCTACCGTTCCTTGTCAATGCATATAACATGGTGCTAACATGGTAAGAGCTCGAGGCCAATCGGCACTGCGTCATGTGCTGATTGGCTGCATATCGACAGGGCTCCGGCAAACACACAGGCCTGAAGAGACGGCTTGCTGCTACTGCATGCTGAGCTGCTGTACGCTCTTTTGCTTCAGTAGAGCTTCTCCAAGAATTCAAACTGCAGTGACTTGTGATTTGGGAATGCTTGAGTCGTCGACCCATCGCCCCTCGACGGTCTCGCAAAACGGAACAGCTCTTTTCCCTGAAGCCATTGAGAACTTACTTCCGTCCCGCTTCCTCCGGGGAGGTCATTCGGCAATGATAGGTGAAAAGAATCTTACATTGAAGGTATAACAGGCCAAACAGTCTAATGCAGAAACCGGAAAAGGCAATCTATCTCGTCTCCCAGGTGAATGATCCCACCCAGGCAAACCGGTGTCAGGGATTAACTCAATCTACCACCCGGATGACGTTTTAAGGAAAAAATGTTGACTTTCAGTGCATACTTCGAGGAAAGCCTAAGTACTTTATCCTACGACTGCAAACTTGATGCCCTAAATCTTCTTCCACTGAGTTCAGGTAGATCGAAGGAGATCCTATACAGAAGTACGGAATTGTGAGGAACCGGAACTGAGCTCTGCAGTTTGACCAATTCTGTTCAGTGGCCACAACAATTAATCTGCGTGGGAATTCTTTTAAATTCGGAAGAACCTTATTTCATCTGGAGGTTCGTCATCACTAGTTTTCATAACGAGTTTTCGGTGCCTAGAACGGCCTTCCCAAGGACGTTATAATAGCGAACACGACAGACGCATTCAAACAGGTCTGACATATGCGTTACTTGAAAGATATTGCTTATTCGGACAGGAAAGCTCGACTACATTATACCAACACTTTGCTCAAACGTAACGCTGATATCTGCTATTTGACATATTTTATCCATGATCTTTCAGAAAGACTGTGCTTAAATCCCAGTTACAAGAATAATTTGTCCATGTAAATAAGTAACTACCTATTATACAGTAGCAATAATTTTTAATTGGAATATTTTGTGTAAGTTTTTAATAGGGTCTTCAACTACAACACCTGTTACCCCAAATATACTGATCTAACTAGAATAATCATGAAGATGGTATTCTGTATGTTGTTTGTCCAAGATTCACCACACTCCGACTTATCCAGCCTCTTACCCTGAAAAGAGAAGATATCTTATTATGCTGCTTCACTGTCCTCTGAAGATCAAAGACCGTATCAATCGATGCATTTAATTTCTCCGAGATCCTACAAAATCTACCTCCTTCCGCTTATCTCCAAATTTCTTCGGACGTTCCGATGAACCGCATCCGAGCAGGAGAATCTCTGAGGTAACTGAAGTCTTGGACTGTGATGAGTCGTCTCAAAGTTAGTGATACTGGGTGAAGCTTAGATTAGTGACCATACTCAGAGGACGGGACGAAAAGACTCCCATAATAAGAGGATAGTGATAAATGGGGTTGTTCTGGGTGCAGTAAACAAAACTGACAGAATACTGTTTTCCGGAGGCGAATGTTTAGGAAGTGCATTTACATCCTTAGTTGCTCCAAATACACTAATAAAACGTGAAAATGCGAGCATGAAATTTTAAATACTGGAAACTGGAAGCTGTAAAGGGAGGAAAAACGAAAACCGAGAGCATTAGTTTGATCTTCCAGGCGAGTTAAACGCGAGCCCAAAATGACAAATTACGTTGATGGAGAGATTGTGAAGGATGTATCATTAAAGTCAAGTCTCAGGACAACTTGACGGGGAAAGAGCGAAAGGAGAGGGATTTAAAGACGAGATAGGGTCACATGGCCACCGCTGATCGTTAATCGATAAAAATTCCTCCAAATAAGATTTTTGTTAGGATCGTATTTATTTCTACAGAACTGCTCCTATGGGATTTCAAACTCTCGGAGGATCAAACACTTGGTTGCAGTGCTCAGTTTAATTTATACCACGTTTTGTGTAAACGCGTCATTACAAATTCATCAGGTAGAAGAAGCAGTTAAATGGAAACGGAAAATGAATTCGTAAATGTCCTCCTTACTAATCAGCATGTTTTTGGACATCGATCGGAAGTGCGTCAGTTATTTCTAGCAGAACGGCAACACGGCAAAACAGTCTTGGGAGTTACTTAACCATCTGCAGAGAAAATTCGGATAGCATTATAATTAGGCTAGAAATACACAATTGTACAATCTGCAAAAGCCATGAAAGTCGAAAAAGAAATAGCTAGCCCGCAAACAGTGAGTCTAGAGGTCCAGTCGTTGGCTGAGAAAAGTTAGCGCCAGGCAGGATTGAAGGATGACCCCAAAGCTTGTGATGTGACTGGAGGTCTTGGCGCCTGTGATGACTGTGCGTTTACGGGGAGGGTACACTAGTTTGCGAAACTGAGGACAAATTGGGCCACAAAGTTGGCTAAACCGAGAAGGAAAATGAAGAGGTGAAAGGCAATAATGGCCCACTTTTTCGGCGTAAGATGCTTCAAGCCCAGCTTGGGAGGCTTTTTTTGCGGATTGGCGTCGAAGGTAGCTTCGGCTTCATCCTTGTCGTACTGACCTTTCTCCGCGGGCACACGCATCAAACTGAGGATGTACACCATACAGGGCAGTGCAAAGATGTAGATGAGTGCAGAGAAGGAGCCACTGAATCTGGAGTTTAAAATATAATATTATGGAAAATTATATGACATGGGACAGTATAACTTAAATGGACGTACACAGGCTTAACAATGCTAAAT